TGGGGGACTCGGCAAGGAGGGTGGGAAGTTGGGACTCGGTGATTGAGCGGGTCGAGAGAAGATTGGTTGGTTGGAAAAAGCAATATCTCTCCAAGGGTGGAAAAGTCACGTTAGTGAAGAGTGTTTTGTCAAGCCTTCCAACATACTTTCTCTCGCTTTTTAGGATTCCAGCCTCTATTGTGGGAAGACTGGAGATGCTCCAACGGAATTTCCTTTGGGGGGGTCGTGAGGAGGAGTTTAAATATCATCTTGTCAAATGGGATCAGGTTTGCAAGCCTCTTCAGCTTGGTGGTCTCGGAATTAGAAGACTGGCCCCTTTTAATAATGCTCTTCTAGGCAAGTGGCTTTGGAGGTTCGGCAGTGAAAGACATAGATTATGGAGAAAGGTCATTTCTTGTCGTTTTGGGGAGGAGAGAGGGGGGTGGTCAGCTAGGCCTGTTAGGGTTGCTTATGGTGTGGGGGTGTGGAGGTCCATTGGGAAGGGGTGGGATGAATTCTCCAAACACATTAGATTCAGAGTTTGGGATGGAAGATTTGTCAGCTTTTGGGAGGATTCCTGGTGTGAAGATAGGCCTTTGGCTCTGTTGTTTCCAAGATTGTTTAGGATTGCTGTTGACAAACATGCTATGGTTGTTGACTGCTATCGTCTTGATAGCGGGACGTTGTTTTGGGATGTGCGATTCAGGCAACCTTTTCAAGATTGAGAGTTGGATGATGTCACTGGCTTGTTGGCCCTTTTGTATAGACAGGAATTGGATGGCACTGGTGTGGATTCCTTGTTTTGGGTGCCTTCTTCTAATGGGACGTTCCAGGTCCGGTCATTCTTTGTGCGCCTCTCTGGGTTTCATGGGTTGCCCTTCTCGTGGAAGACGGTGTGGCTCTCTAAGGCGCCCCTTAGGGTGGCCTTTTTTGTGTGGACTGCAGCTTGGAGTTAGATGACTTTGGACAATTTACGGAAGAGAAGACATATCATTGTTAATTGGTGTTGTCTTTGCAAGTGTTTTGGGGAGTCCGTGGATCACCTTCTGTTGCATTGTCTTGTTGCTTATGAATGTTGGAGTCTTTTGCTTGGTTTGTTTGGCATCCATTGGGTCATATTTCAGACTTCTCGAGGATTGCTAGATATCTGGAGGGGCCAATGGGTGGGGGCTCAGGCTAGAGACTTCTGGAGGGTGATCCCTCTTTGCGTTTGGTGGAGTCTTTGGAAAGAGCGGAACAGAAGATCTTTTGATGGGAAGGAGTCATCTATTGGAGAGCTGAAATTTTCTATTATTTGTACCCTTTTTTGTTGGGGTTGGGGGAGGGATTATTCTTCTTTAGAGGACATTGTGGACTTTTTGGGTTCTTTGAGTTCATAGATTCTTTTTGTGTATATCTCGGGACGCATTCCCCTTTTGAATGCTTTCTAATATATTTTACTTATCAAAAAAAAAAGAAAACCTTCCACGCCATGACTGCTTCTCCACGAGCCCCCTCTTAACCATCTCCCACCATCTATCTGCCCGACCCTCTAGTTGATAGCTAGTAACAAGAACTCTTAAGTCCTCTGTTATGCCTAGAGCATCTAATCTCTTTTTAATTTGCCAAAGTCATTCTTCGGCCACCATGGTGTTACGTTCCCCCTTAAATACTGGCAGCTTCATTTTTCGGAATTTTCTTTGTGCTATCATAGTTTGAGGGGGATGTGGAGCTGTGCGTGCAAGTTGCTGCATAGCTTCAGCCATATTACGCATTACTTGGAACATTCCATCGGGACCCTGAGGTGTAGAGTCCGAGCCTCCTTCCATTGGATTCTAATAATTTAAAAATACATTTTATTCTATGAAAAATAAGAATAAAATGGAATTTTCTTGAGCTAATATTAAAATAGTAATTCTCACGTGAAAACGAGTCAAATGAGTATAATATTGATTATGCTTCGACTTGGTGGAATTTAATTGGTATTATTATTATTATTATTTTTATAGACTTTGTTACAGGTTTATCTTATGAAACAATTATAAAATATGTAGATATAGACCTATGTATGTGTATGCGGGTATACTAATGTGAGATAAATATGATTGGTCAATGATGGGTCTTGGTTTAATCAATGAGTTGTGTCAGTTACTTATAAGAGTTATGACCTAAATAAAGAAATGACCTTAAGGTTTCTTCAATTGACAAGTCTGTTCCTTTCCATAGACAAAGGTTAAACCTAAATAATTAGTTCAAAGGTTAAGGATAGACTTCTCAACTTTCCATTCCATGTCAGTTACATAAAGAAATATATAAAAGGAGACTCATGTGCATCACACACATTACTCGATTCATTATATACGTGTATTTATGCATATATAGTGAGAGAAAGGGATTAAGGGAGATGAAGTAGAAAGAGGGATATCAGATCAAAGAGGAACCAGTCAACAGAAAAGGGAAAAAAACAGAACTGTTACGTGTAGCAGGGAGGTTGTATAAAGGTAGAAGTCAAGAGAAGGAATTCACAAAAGGTAGGGAATTTACTTTCAGTTCATATATGCTAATAGATAGAATCAAAATTAAAATTCCAGGAGAAATAATCTTTAAGCTTTCTGTTTTGTGTGTTTTTATACTGGTACTGTTTCTTACTTGAACATTAAATTGATTAATGAAGCCGGGTGTGGAAGTGTGTGGTATGTGATCAGATGTCCCATTTTTATATATGATGTGCACTGTGATATGATGTCTCGTTATTATATATATAGATTTATTTATGTAGTTTTAAAGTACATAGAATATATTTATACAGTAGATATGTCTATATTACATTGTTGTTCATATTTACTTGTATAGGGCCTGGGTAAGATGGACCCAGATTGGGGCGGAAAAAAACTCTTTGCATGTGTAGACCTATTTTTCTTTCTACTTTTTTTATTGGTGGTGACTAGCGACCTTTTACCAAATCAGATTCCTGTTTTATACTTGTACCAAATCAATTTCTTATTATTTTTATTTTTTTACCAAATCAGATTCTTACTTTCCTTTGTAATTGGAATGAAATTGAATAAATTTATAGCTTTGCAATAATTTGTTTTTATTTATTTATTTATTTATTTATTTTTAAATACATATATGTTTATTTATTGCTTAGGTGAAAATTGAGTATGATCAGTGGTGTTCTGCTTGCTTATATATTTATTTAATTGCCTACGTGAAAAATTGAGTACATGAACAATGTCTGGAAGAGAAAATTATACAAGCATTTTGTGATTCTGATCCTGTGGAAATTTGTACAAGTGATGTATCTTGTGTATGGTTCACGAATGGAATTTGGTTGCGTGTGCTTGTACATGCATAGCCGGCTGAAAATAGGAAGGGGGTGAAAGCCCTTGGGTAGATTGTTTTGGAACTTAGTTGGGGTCAGCTGTCCGTCGAAGAATGACCGGGAATCCACTTTTGTGTGCGTTATACATGTCAATGATTATTCTCTTAACCTTGTGGGATGAGATTTGACATTATTGCTCGGATTTGGATTGTGTTCGGAGGTTTTTTGTGTTATTGCTTAAATTCAATTATATTTATGCCTAGTTCCTTATGTATGTATATAAGTATGATTAAAAAGGCTTAATGTTATATCTTATTGTATATATAGATTTAAAGCATTTTTGGGCTGTCGGCAGAAGTGGGTAGTGAAGAATTCCCGGAATTCTTTGATGCATAATGAAATATTAGAGATACTTAGTTTTTTACTTTATATTGTAATTGACCAGAAAAGCCTTCATGTTTATGCTTAATGTCTCATTCAGTTGCTATGTTATTTTAAGAGTTGGATTATTCGTTCTACGGCGACACTGAAACTTGTTATTATTCGTTCTCTCTTTAGTTATGTGGAGAGGAGTTCTTGTTCCTCTTCTGATGATTTAATTTCCTTTTTGGATTCTGTGGGGCCTTAGACCCCCGTTCCTCTAATGTCTAAGGGGCGCGTTCCCCTTTTGAACGCCTTTTTTAATTCATTATTACTTATAAAAAAAAAAAGAGTTGGATTATCGATATGGGTTTTCTTTTAATGTTATAAGGTTTCTATTTTTTTTCCTAAAAATTGTAAGGTTTCTAATTTGTTAAATGAAATTTTATTTTATTTTATTTTCTTTTATCACGTCCTAAAAATTCGGGGTGTGACAGTCAGTTTGAAGCACCTTCATTTGAAATGAATCAGCCTAGTCATTATTGTGTTTTCGCAGCTGTTCTGCTCAATCAATTACAAAATAATAATTTTTATTCTAGATGATAAATCTGATTAGTTTTGAATTAAAAGTTGATTTAGTCACATTTGATTTAGTTGGCTGAAATGATCCAGACAAACACACTATAGGCATGGCTGCAATTATCTATACTTTATACACAGAATCCCTGTTTTGTGAACCTTTTTCCAATATAAATATGAATTAGAGAAGGTGTAACTTGGGTATGAGAAAATTATTGCAGTTTTGAGATACATTCTTAAGTTTGTGAAAATTCTAGCGGATACAGTGTTTCTTCAGTTCTACTGTACTTTCGAATTGTTGACTGGTCCGCCGCCTCTATTGGGTCCTTGGTTTCAAATTCATGAGTGTACTGGTAGAGCTGTCTGCATTCAAGTGCACTTCCCATTTTTTGAATTCCGTGTAAGCCTGCACTATATAAGGTTCAGGAGGATTTTATTATCGGTTGGTAGATTCCTGACTGATTGCAACTGGAACTACTGAGTAGGATTTGGTGTTCTTCTTGAGATTGTTCGAGTATTGTTGATTTGGCAATTTTATTTATTTATTTATTTATAAGTAAGATTTATTAAAAAACGCTCAAGAGGGGAGCGCTCCCAAAGGAAATATCATTTTTTTTTTTTTGGATATTATAGAATGCGTTTATATATTATTCAAGAGTCAAGGATCATTCAAACAGGGTTCGTTGTCGATTTTGCTACAGTTTTGACTTAAGATTACCATCATTTTACATGGCTGACATCTCTTTTCATTTTTCCCATGATATGCCACTGATTTTAGGTATGCTGCTCCAATATACGTCAACATAGAGTACATTAGGGAAAGTCATGGTCAAAAACAACTAACAACGAAGGTATTTTCCAAATTTCAGCTATATATACTCGGTGGAAGACATGCCTATGACTATTTGACGTTACGTTTGTGTCTGCAGAGCAATGTTATTATTGGTAGAATGCCTGTCATGTTAAGGAGTTGCTGTTGTGCATTATACAAAAAAGATGAAGCTGAACTTGCAAGGCTTGGTTTGTGTTTCTGAAACTCTAAAATACTCTGTTGCAACTTCTTTCTAGTCTAACAGCAACCATTGTGTTCTTGTTGTTCCTTTGTTCTTGGCTTTAGGTGAGTGCCCCCTTGATCCAGGAGGATATTTTATTATCAAAGGAACTGAGAAGGTAATTCTACTCATCATGTTGTTGTTATGTTGAGCGTGCGTCGTGTGTTTTCTTTTCCTTTTTTAACAATGTGGAGACTATCTTTATACCTTCACAGGTATATTTAGTTTTCAACTTTTCTTATCCTTTATGCTTGTTAGTAGTTACTATCAGTTTCGAGGATTGAGGAGCGATTAGCCTAGTTTGGAATTTTTTTTTTGGTGCATGGAAGGAGTAAATGATTGTTTTGGGAAGGGGAAAGGATTCCAAATGGATGGTTAGTATCATCCTGTAAAACCAATTATGATTTACTTAAGATTAACTTTGTTGGTTTACTTGTGATGCCATTGGTAAGATTTTAATCAATCTCTCAAGCTAATTATAATTCATTTGATCTTTTTAGTGGTCGGCACATGTTGCTGCCCTTTATATGATGCTAGTATAGTAAGTTCTGAAATAGTGACTAATAAGGTAAATCATCTTGATTATTTTCTTATAGTTCTTTAATGATCATATGACTTCTCTTGTAATATCCATATTGCCTTGTGTTTTTATTGTACTTTTTTCTTCGGTGATAGAATGAACTCTATTAGAAATAGTTAGTGTGTAAAATATTGAGAATTAGGATTTGATACGAAGAGGAAAATTAGGATTAGATGAGAAGAGGAAGAGAAGATGTTCAGAGAAAGGGTTTAGGGCACGCTCAATAAATCTGCCCTTTCACCCAGTCATATATTTATATTAAATGCAAGACAAATACAATAGTACCCTTAGGTTAATATAACCAAAGGAGGTAATAACTGACTCTGAGAAAAATAATAACTCTAATGCTCTGCCTCAAGCTGGGCCATATAAATCAAACATGCCTAGCTTGGAAGACAAACGTTGAAAGGAGGTACAAGCTAATGGCTTTGTGAGAATATCACCTAGTTGATCATCAGAGCGAACATAAGGAGTGAGTATGATTGCTAGCAATAAAGATAGCGGCATGATTGTCACAATGCTGCATAGGAGTAGGAACATCGACACCGAGATCTTGAAGAAGAGAATGGACCCACAACATTTCCGAGGCAGTATGAGCTATAACACGATATTTGGCTTTAGCACTAGAATGGGCAACGACAGTCTGCTTTTTTCTACGCTAAGTAACCAGATTTCCACCAACAAAGGTACAATAGTCAGAAGTAGACCACCGATCAGAACGACTACCAGCCCAGTCTGCATCACTAAAACCAGTCACAAATAAGGAAGCTAAAGGCTTATACAATAGGCCTCTCCCAGGTGCTCTATTCAGATAACGTAAAATATGACAAACAACATCGTAATGAGGTTGACGAGGAGCATGCATAAACTGACTCACTGCGCCAACGGCATAAGCAATGTCAGGCCGAGTGATCTCAAGATAAATCAACTTCCCAACTAACCGCCGGTATCGACCAACATTAGCAAACAATTCTCCTTGCTTACTGTCAAGCTTATTAGTGGAATCCATAGGAATATCAACTGGTCGAGCACCTGAAAGACCACACAGAAGATCAAGCACGTATTTCCTTTGCGATAGAGAGATGCCTTGGCGAGAACGAGCAACTTCAATCCCAAGAGATGAAGAACACCCAAATCTTTAGTATGGAAGTGTTGGTCCAAATGTCTCTTCAAATCATCAATACCCGCGGAGTCACTTTCAGAGATAATAATATCATCCACACACAAAATCAAAACAGTAGTACCCGTAAGAGAGTGACGAACAAAAACTGAATGATCAGAATTACAACGTTGGAAACCATATGCAAGTACAACTGCACTGAAACAATCAAGCCAAGCACGAAGAGACTGCTTTAGACCATATATTGCTTTTTTCAGTCGACACACTAGATCGCCTTTTTCAGGGGGTTGATCCATGTATACTTCTTGACGATTGCCATGGAGGAATGCATTCTTTATATCAAGCTGGTATAAGGGCCAAGAACAACTGACAACAACTGAAAGTAGGATCCATACAGAATTTAAACGAGCCACAGGAGAAAAAGTCTCTTAAGTAATCAACGCCATATGTCTGTGTGTACCCTTTAGCAACCAAACGTGCCTTAAGACGCTCAACAGAACCTTCAGGAAGGTACTTAATAGTGTACACCTAACAACAACCTACCGTTTGTTTCCCAAGAGGAAGAGTAGTAAGCTCCCAAGTCTCATTCCTATGAAGGGCACTCATTTCCAAGAACAACTGACAACAACTGAAAGTAGGATCCATACAGAATTTAAACGAGCCACGGGAGAAAAAGTCTCTAAATAATCAACGCCATATGTCTGCGGGTACCCTTTAGCAACCAAACGTGCCTTAAGACGCTCAACAGAACCTTCGGGAAGGTACTCAATAGAGTACACCTAACGACGACCTACCGTTTGTTTCCCAGGAGGAAGAGTAGGAAGCTCCCAAGTCTGATTCTTATGAAGGGCACACATTTCCTCATCCATAGCATGTTTCCATCCGGACGAAGACAAGGCCTATTTATAAGATGTGGGAACATAAATAGAGGACAAGGCACAAGCGAAGGATTGCAAACAAGGTTAAGCATGATTATAGGACACAAAACGAGCAATAGGATGTTGAGTACAAGTGTGCTTACCTCGTCATAGTGCAATAGGTAGATCATCAGTGTTAGGAGTAGATAATGAAGAAACAGGAACCTTTGACGGCGAAGATGTGGTATCTGGACTAAAAGAAACAACACGCTTATCTAGGGATCGCTAATAAACCTGCAAGGGAGGGTTAGTTGAAGGAGAAATAGGTGAAGAAGTTAGTGGTGCAGGAAGAGTAGGCAAATAAGGCTTCCCCTCACGACAAGATATGAGATCTGTAGACAAGGATTAACCAGATGAGGAAAAGAAGGAGTTGGACTCAAAAAAGGTGACATTGGCAACAATGAGAATCAAGACAGTAACAACGATAACCCTTCCAAGAGTACCCAAGGAAAACACATTTGCTGGCTCGAGGAGATAATTTGTCCCGACTAGGATCAAGAATATGAACAAAGGCAACACAACCGAACACGCAAGGAGTGAGCTGAAAAGGTGAGAGACTAGGGTATAACAGGGGAAAAGACTGACGATTTAGAACAATAGAGGGCATACGATTAATGAGGTGACATGCAGTAAGAACATCACTCTAAAAATGTTTTGGTACGTGCATATTGAACATCAAGGTACGACTAACATCCAACAGATGACGATGCTTCCGTTCAGCAACACCATTTTGTTGAGAGGTGTGAGCACAACTAGTTTGATGAATAATACTATGATCATTACAAAAGGAAACTATGACAGACTGACTGTATTTTAATGCATTATCAGATCAAATGACTTTATTGCGTTTACCAAACTGGACAAAGATCTTATTATAGATTTTAAAAGCGATATTAGGTAGCTCAGACCTTTCTTTCATTAAAAATAACCATGTCATATGAGAATAATCATCCACAAATATAACAAAATAACGAAATCCATTCAAACTAGAAATGCGGGAAGGTCCCCATATGTCCGTGTGCACTACAACAAAGACTACTACGAGAAAAAGAGCTACGGTGATGCTTGCCCATCGCACAAGCTTCACTTTCTAAGCTAGACACATGACTCAAACTAGGAATAGCTAACTTGAATTTGGCCAATGATGGATGACCCAAACGGAAGTGCCACTGATTCACTGAAGAAGTGAAATTGTAGCACACAAAACAGATGAAATGGAAAAGGAAGAGCCACTGTGATCCAGATAATATAGGCCGTCCTTCTCATACCCCAAACCAATCATCTTCTTCGTCTTAAGGTCCTGAAAGACACAAGTAGTAGGAAAAAAGGTTATAGAACAGTTTAATGATTTAGTTAGCTGACTAACAGAAAGTAAGTTAAAGGGAAAGTCAGGAACATAGAGACTATAGGGTAAGGATAAGGAATTAGTGGGTTGAAGAATCCCTAGGACTGGCCAAGATGAACCATCAGCTAATACAATATGATGTTTAATGGGGTTCAAATCAGAAAAAGAGAGAAGGTATACCAGACATATGGGAGGTTGCTCTAGAGTCAATGACCCAGGATGAAGGTGAATGGGCTACACATGCAATATTACCTGAATTAGGCAATGTAGCAGTGGAAAAAGAGGGAAGTGCAGTTCGCAGTGTCTGAGCCAGCTCGCTAAGCTGAGTAGTGAGTGCATCATTTGAACTAGTACCAGGAGTTACGTGTCCAGATAAAGTAGGAGTCGAATGTGTTGTGAATCATTCGGCTTTCCATACTTCACCCAACAATAAGGCTCAGTGTGATTAGTACCACCACAATGATCACATTTCCTGTCACCACGACCACTAACACGACCACCCCCTCTAGAACCACCATGAGAGATGCGGCCTCCACAACCACCATGAGAACCAGACCCATAACCTCCATTACCAGAGACTAAAGCAGAAGACTCTAAACGAGTGGCAGTGGAGCTCTGTCCCAAAGATGAGCACAATAATCGATAATAAGCATTAGCAGAAGTAGGCAAGATCTCACTAGCAACAATCTGATTTTTAAAGCTACGAAGGACCAATACTAATCAATTGTGCTGGGAACTATTAAGTGAAAAGGTCCCACTAGCAGCACAAACAATTGTGCTGGGAACTATTCAGTGAAAAGGACCAATACTAACCAAAACAATCCAGACCAAGAAAGGGGGTTTTGGTTGGGGGTGGAACACCTTGACAGAGGACCAAAATTTACCAAAACAATACTGCTGGGAACTATTCAGGGAAGGATTGAACCAAAAAAAATAACTGCTGCCCACCCTCGAAGCAACCAAATCCATAAAAAATAACTGACACTAGAGGCTTAGTCGCACCTCTCTGTGTAGATGACTCCCAGAAATTTGAGCCAAAAACTCACCCAAAAACAGATGAACCAAAACCAACCGAAAATTAAAAAAATGTTTCCAAATTAGAAAACACCCATCGGAAGATCTCAAAAAATTACAGAAAAATCACCGCAATTACCAGGAGGAGAAGGCGATCCATGAGATGGGTTCATCACATGCTGACATCATGTTTGTGCTGACGTCATCACAACGAGGATGATATCAGCACCTCAATTTGAGGATGCTGATCTCCCAATTACTGTCAAAATAATTTTGATGGGCTTTAGTTGCGTCGGATCGTTTGCTCTGATACCAAGTTAAGAGTGTAAAATACTGAGAATATGGGTTAGATGAGACGAGGAAAATTAGGGTTAGATGAGAAGAGGAAAAGAAGATGTTCAGAGAAAGGGTTAAGGGCACGCTCAATTAATCTGCCCTTTCACCCAGTCATATATTTATATTAAACGTGAGACAAATACAATAATACCCTTAGGTTAATATATCCAAAGGAGGTAATAACTGACTGAAAAAAATAATAACTCTTAACAGAAATAAAGGAATGTAATGGCCCAAGTTCATTCATTCATGTCCTAATATGTTTCGCATTTCCTGTCACATCAACTTTTTGATGAACTTATTAATTTCACATGCCTGCATTACATATAATTTCAGTCACTTTTTTTGTCACAGTTAAAGTGAATGTCTTTCCATATGTCTATGTAGTTCCTTGTTGTTAGCAAGGCTTTAACTCTACCGTCTCTTCCAGGTGATTCTGATACAAGAACAACTTTCAAAGAATAGAATAATTATCGATACTAACAACAAGGGGTGGTGAGTAGTTTTCATTTTATGGTTTGCTTGTTTTATATCGTCCTTTGATTCTTCCTCTTCTTCTTCATCTTTTTTTTTTTTTTTTTTTTTTTTTTAATTATTATTTTTATATCTCTTCCCTTCTTTTCTAAAATTTTCATTTGTTTATTGTTGGAGTTAACTACTTGACATGGTGCTTAACTTGGCTATGATTGTCCTCTGCACAGTTTTGCTTTCAATTAACTATACAATCTCAACGATCTTGCCCAAAAACAAATGTAAAATAAGTGATAAAGTTAAAAATATTTACTAACAGGGGGTGTAATGAGAAAATAATTAGCAAGCTCAAAGTATCGACTCCTTTTACTATTTTACCTTTTGCTTACCCTCATATGTGAATGAAATATATAGCAGATTTTTTTTTTTTTTTTTTTTTTTTTTTCATGGTTTACCAGCTAAATGATAGTATTTGTGATTGCTGGCGTTGCTTAAATTTCTCTTCTGAAGTGTTTTGGTTACACTTATTGTTATCCATTTGTTTATGTTTTTTGACATATGATGTATTGTGGGTGGAAATTCTTCTTTGATAATGTAGATTATTATGCTGGGTGAAAACTGAATGAGTTTGTGAACACAAACCTGGTTGAAGTGCACTAATGTTATTGTGAAACTTAAAGAAAAAGATAGAGCTGTTGTGTCATCCAAGGCCTTTAGCACAACTCTCAGAGTATCCACAAAACCCGCTAACTGCCCCATAGATTTACAGTTTCTCCCCTGAAGCCAAAAACTAAAGTGTGGAGGATAGAGAACTTTAGCACACTAATAGGAGTTTCCTCTCCCTTGAAGGACCTCCTATTCCTTTCCGTCCACAAAGACCACTGAAAACATAATGGCACAACTCTCCAAGCATCTCGAGCCTGAGCTCCCACAATGCAACCTCTCTAAGCCTCAAGGGCAGTTCTCACAGAAAGAGAGACATAACCCACTGTGCCCCGAAGAGGCCAAGGAACATATCCTAGCAATCACGAGCCATTGGGTAATGGAGAAGGAGATGATCTACTGTCTCCTCATCCCTCCTGCATATGTAGCATCCGCTCACTATAATTTGCCCTCTCCTCCTTAAGTTGTCCATTGTAAGGATCTGGCCCAAAGCTATTGTCCAAGCAAAAACAGTCCACTGTCAAGGGGGCTTCCTGCGTCACACTGCCTTCCATGGAAAAGGAAGAGTCTGATCACTTACCAATCTCATGACAATTGCAGCCAGCAATCATGGCATGTCTTTTGGTTGCAATCCTGAACAGCCTACGATTGGAACAAGCTAAAGATCGATCTCCACACCAATGATCCTCCCAAAGCCAGATACTACTACCATCCCTCACCTTGAAGCGAATATGATTTAAAACTCATCCCAGCTCTTCCGAATGAATTTCCAAACCCCAACTCCAGCCAACCCCTTCACTTCTGAAGAACACCAACCACCCCTATCCTCTCCAAACTTCGAACAAATGACCCTCCTCCAGAGCCTATTCCTCTGCACCCTTAATCTCCTGAACCACTTACCCGATAGGGCATTATTACTATTTTTTTTTTTATATAAGTACCCAACAGGGCATCATTTGAGGGGAGTGAGTCTCCTAACCCCCAAACCACATCTTATTTAAACATGGTGTACTTTTTGAATTGGTTTGGACATGGTTTATTGCTACTTCATGGGTTCCATGGCTGCTTTGGGTTGTTCCTTTGTCTTAATTTATTTATTTATTTATTTTTCAGTATACAAGCATCTGTCACAAGCAGCACGGAGACAACAAAAAGTAAAACATCTATTGTAATGGAGAAAGAGAAGATATATTTAAATTTAAATCAATTTTCTACAAAGGTCATTATGTATTTCTTTTCGTCTCTTTTTATTCTTTTTTTCACATAATTGTTTTGTCTAAGAAAGGGTTTTAAATTCTCTTTTAGGTTCCTATTATGGTGGTCATGAAGGCTATGGGTATGGAGAGTGATCAAGAGGTTGTGCAGATGGTTGGAAGAGATCCTCGATACAGTGCACTACTTTTGCCATCTATTGAGGTACCACTTGTGGTGTAGGATATTAGAAGTTTAAAGAATGTTGTTATCAGAAATATCTTAAGAGAGAGTTTGAAGGGAGTTTTTTTTGCCACCTCCTTGCTAGGCGCAATGCTAATGTTGCACGCCAAAAGTTTCTCGTGTTTGGGAACCACAAGCCGAAATAGCTTGTTGCATAGGGATCAACTTAAATCAAAACAAGTGATAAATACTCGACTATTGTTCTCACAACTTGTGTTAATTTAAAGCTCCTGTGTAAAATCTTGAATCATTTTATCACATTAAAGGAGCATCATACACCCTTTTAGGTTCTAGTGGCATGGATTCTTAAGTTTGCTTCTAACATACTCCAGTGATCAATATGAGAGAACCTTACTAAAATTAATAAAGCCTTGTCAGAACTATTTGGGGTGGTTACATGAATTTTGTGTTATCATTCTTCTATTTGCTCCTTATCGTTTTTGACGTGTGTATTTATTTATCAATAATAAATTACCACTCGCAATAGAACGAATCCTTGCAGGATAGGGCTATATTGAGGGTGTCGAACCTCAAGGACTGTGGTGGTTTATCGAGTCTTCAATTAATTGCTATTTTAATTTTGAAAGAGGATTTGATTTGTTGTGGTGTAATAACATGAATAGAAAATAAACAAGGTAAAGGGATTGAGATCTATAGAAGAAATACTTAGGGATTGACTTAACCACGAACCTCATACTATGGTCAACTGTTCTACCTTGGGCTTTCAACAATTATGTATATCATGGAATTAAACTGAATAACATTCGTTTAATTCAGATTTAAAGAAAGATATTTCATGAATTTCAGTTAATACTAACCTATCTTTGGTTGGTACGAATTATCTACCTACCTACTTCTAACTAATTTTGCAGTATAACTCGTCTTCCCTAGGCATAGACTATGAAAACATCATTCATGAAAAACGTTGGAATACCATTGCATGATCTCTATTCTTAGTGTCGAGAAGCCCTTATGCCGCCATCTCGTACATTTAGAATAGGTTGAAAACAATTTAAGAACAATTAAATCTAAGACAAGTTATTAATCATTCAAAAACCATTATTTCATTAGACACCAATTGATATGACTCAATTGCTTATAATCATGCAATCAAAATACATAAATAATTAAATTCCCAAAGTTAGAACAATCAAACCATAATATTCGAATTCGGGTTACATCAATGCCCTAAGATGGAGTTTAGCTACACATGACGATGCAAGATATTATCTGTGTTGTTGTAGACTTCATCGCCATGGACCGCTAAGAACTCCTTTGGATCTTTGTCTTCAAAACCCTAAAAGCCACCAAGAATTATGAGAGAGATAAAAAGCTAACTTTCCTGTGGCCTTGTGCCTCCTTTTATAGAATAATTGACTTCTAATAAGGCTTGGATGGGCTTTAGGTCTTCTGGGATCATCTGGGCCCGTCTCATAGTTATTAAAAGCCCAAGGCGCTAAAGCTCCCTTGGAGCCTAGGCGCAAGGCGCACGGCGAGGCGTGAGCCTGAGTGATGTAAGGTGCACAAGTAAAATTTTAAAACAATAATTCTTAGCAAAAATAACACAATTAAACAATGAACATCCAATAATAAAAACACTAAATTAGTCTAAGTATATCACAATTAAACCAATAAAGCAACTAGAAAAATAGAACAATTAAACTAATAAAGCTATTTATTCATAGGAAAGATTCAAAAAAAGCAAAACATAAACCAATTAACCATATATTAGAATGGAGTCAATGGAGTGATGGACCAAGTTAAATTCAGCAAACAACATTCACACTTTCAGCAAACACCATTCAGAAAGATGCATTCAAAATTTAAATAATCCATGTAGCAAAATTCAGTAGAACACAACAACAAAAAAAAAAAAAGAACAGATAGACAGCCTTCAAAGAAGAAGGGAGAAAAAAATGAGAGAGAAATTATTGGAAGAAAAAGTCAGAGATTGAAAAAAAAAAAAGAAAAAAAGAAAGAAAATATGGTGGAGTAGATGAAGGGAAAAAAAATGAAGGCTAGAGAGAACAAAAACAGAATTTGAAATTTTACAACAATTAAGATGCACAGACAACAAAAAAATAATAATTTTAAAAAGTCTTATTCTGTTCGGTATTTCTTTATTAAAGGGTGAGGTGGTGTACTGATTCTCCTACGGGTAATATAGCACCGCAAACTATGTTTGCTGAAGACTTTGATGATGAAGAGCGTACAGATATTATAGCTATACACCAAGAAGTTGAAAATGATGGGAAAAAATACGAGAAAAAAATACAGGCCAGAGAGAATATATATATATATATATATAGCAAGACACAGGAGAGGAGTAGATGAAGAAAAAGAAAGAAGAAAAAAAAACAGAGATCCACAAGAACAAAAACAGAGATGGAGAAAAAGATAGAAGGAAAAAAAAATAAAAAAGACCCAGAAAAAGAAAGAGCTAGAAAAACACAAAACCAGATATATAGAGAGGAGGAAGAAAAAAAAGACCCAGAAGAACAGAAACAGAGACGGAGAAAAAGACAGAAGAAAAAAAAAAAAATCAGAGACGAAGAAAAAGATAGAAGAAAAAAAATAAAGAGACCCAGAAAAAAAAAAAATATACCAGTCTACTAGAGACCCAGAAAAAGAAAGAAGAAAATCAGAGAAATAGAGAAGAAGAAGAAAAAAAGACTCAAAAAAAAAAAAAAAAAAAAAAAAAGGGGCGAGATATAGAGATTAGAACAAATGAAGAGAGAGAGAGAAGAGGTGAATTGGAGAAGGAAAAAAAGAAAAAAAACAAAACTGACTTGGTAAGTTGATTCAGTGATTCCTGGCCGGATGGAGGCAACTGATAGCCCTCTCCTCTTCTCTTCTCTTCTCTTCCTCTCTTTCTCTCTTCTCTCTCTTTTCTTCTCTTTCCCACTCCCTCACGTCTTTATTTCTGCTACAGCTTTTGGTCTTGACTGATTTGTTTTGTTGACTATTGGGAGACATTGGGTTGCCAAGTCACAAGAAGACAAATTTTTATTTTGTACTTTTAAGTTTCCATTTTGTACTTTCAGTTTCCAAAAGCTGTAACTATATATATATAATAATATAAAGTAAAAAAGCAAACACATAGTACACGTAATACATCAAAGGAAACACACAAACAAATTATAAAAGGAGCACAGAATATATGAAGTGCGCCTCTTAAAATATCCAAGGCGCAGCCCAGGCGCGTGCCTAGTGAAGGTCGCTGCGCCTGGGCTAGCATGAGGCGCATACACGCTTTTAATAACACTGGCCCGTTTGGGATGAAATAGGACTTAATTAGAACAAATCCCGCAACTTGGAAATCTAAATTAACAGCAAGGACTCGAGGCCAGAAGCTTGGGCTCGAGCCCAACTTCTATACTTAGTCATTTTTCTTCAATTATTTTCCAAAGCGTCATTTTTCTTCATGGTGCTCGATCACCTTGCTTGGGTGCTCGAGCCTTGGGGTCCCGGCTCGAGCTATTTGGTCTCGGCTCGAGCTTTTTGGTCGCGGCTCGAGATCTGGCAATATGAAACTTCCGAAGAGTCTTTTTACCTTCCGAGGCATATTAGGCTCGAGCCCAAAGGTTTAGGCTTGAGCTCTTTTGCCTTAGTTGATTTTCTGTCAGCAACTTGTTCTGGAGTTGTAATGCAATTTTGACATATTTGGAGTGCGAATCTCGAAGTTGCTATTAGAGACAAAAACATCGGGCTTCGAGTCTTCTTTCCATAGCCGCTGAGTTTGCCCAATTTGGAGTTTCGAGTGAAAAGTTATGCCCAAAATACTGAAGCAGGTCCAGAATTTTCATCATTTTGACTCCAAGCTTGCTTCAGATGAACGGCAACGGCTCTGTAAGCTTCAATATCAGTCTTTTCATCTTAAAATCCCGGTTTTAACCATTTCTTTGGGACAGTACCTACAAACACGAAATAAACATAAATTAGTCTAACAATGGATATAAGTATTATTTAAGGTCTTAATATATGTATATTTAGGGGCTCGAATATGCAATATTCAGTGCTCATCGGTTTCAATCCGTGTTAATTTGGTTTTCACGTGTCAACACCATAGTTGTTAAAGGCTTAAGGCGCACTAAGGCGCCAAAGGCCTTTTGGAGCCTAAGCGCAAGGCACACATGTAATTATATTGCATATTATAACTTATATTATTATGTATAGTCATAATCATCAAGCACTAATTGCAATTAATGTATGTAGTGAACTATAAATTTATGAATTTTGTCAAATATTTCATAAGGTTAAACAATACGATATATGATATAGAACATTTTAATTTAGCAGTCATTAAATATAAGTGAAAATGATATGAATAAATGATTAAAAAATACAAGGCACATTTTTTTTGAACCTGGAGCCTAATAAAAAACGTAAGCGGGAGGGCTATATTTGAGCCTGACTGAAGGGGCCTAGCCTGTACTAGGTTGAGACGCTTTAGCTGAGCCTTGATGCGCTTGGGGCTTCTTTGGAGCCTAGGCGTGCCCTTAACAACTATGGCGGATCATTCACTTTTCTAGATTGATGTAATTTTAGTTTTCGTTGTACATTGCTATATGACCTTGATTTGTTCTATCTCATTCTATCTCTGACAGGTGCGCACTCATGCCATATCACGAATTTGTTCATTTTTAATTTTATCCTTTGTTGTTTACTGCACTCATATTTCGACATACACATTTACCTAGGCTCGTTTTGTAAAATTGTTATTTTTAACCGCCTGTCCCATAAAGTATGGCAGGCGTTGTAGATGTTTCATGAAATTACCTATCATACAATATACTAGAAGTACTCATCCACTTGATCCATCCGTTACAGTCTCGCCTCTTTCCTGTTGTGTGAAAATAACTATATTGGAATGCTGAATAATAATTTTTTTTTTTTTTTTTGATAAGTAAGATTTTATTAAAAACGCTCAAAAGGGGAGCGAAGCCCGAAGAAACAAAAGGAAACAAAAGGGCCAAAGGGCGCCTTAGACCTTCAGAGAGGCCAAGAAAACTATAATTTCCTCCATAGATCTATAATCTCTCCCTGAAACCCAACAAAAAAGAGTAGAAATAACAGATTATTAAATGGCTAGAATAAAGGTAACCATGAGATGAGGGACACACTATGCACGCTGCTCCATTAAGTTTTAATGAATAAAATAATCACGAACTATGGCCCCAAGCTGGCTTCTATTGAGATGGACATAGATATGTTACAACTATTTAAGTAAGCTCTCCAAGTTTAGCTTCTAATTTATGTTGGTACTACTGTTTCATCTTTGTTTCTTCTTGATTTGTTTGTTTGTTTTTTTGTTTTTTGTTGTTTTGTTTTTTCGAAATAAAAAATACTCTATATCATTTCTCCCATTGATTAACCCATTTATTGTTAAGAAAATAGGAAAAAAAATGTGTTGCAGGCTCGCAGCAGAACAGTGTTTAACTTGCATACAAGTTAGTGGGTCCAAATTAGAAGAATTGATAATTATAAAACGTACTATTTTGCATATGAAATTGAAAACTTTAATCTATACCATTTGGAAGTTAAATATTTCTGTATCATATGCATTGTATTTTTTTAAAAAAATAAACGCATGCCCTCTTTTTGTTTGCTAAAGTTTCTTTTGGGGCATTGCTGTATTATGCTCTTGATGAATGATGAATCCCTCTTGATTGCTTGTATCATATATATTTTTTTTTCTTTACTTCATGTCATTTTTACGATACGGCCCTTGTGAACTTTTGATTTTTTTTTATCTCGCTTCTTATTTTGCAATGGTTTTTTTATGCCTCATTTTCCAACATTTTTTGGTACTATCTTTATCAATGTACCATGTTGTTCCAATTTCAGGAATGTGCAAGCCATAATGTATATACACAAGAGCAAGCCCTGGAGTTTCTTGAGAAGAAGGTGTGCTACTTTACTTATTCATTGTAAAATAATTTGATGTTTTGAATCTCTCTTATAGATTATAATGCTTCCAGAGTACCTTGAAGTACATTGTAAAATTTCTTGTTCATAATATAATTTTGGGAGGACTATCAACTATCTGGACCAACCCTTACTGAAACTAGGTTGGCCAATGGAATGGTTTGACATCTTTCTGGTTATAATTTTTTTTTTTTTTTTGTGTGTTGGGGGGGGGGGGGGGGGGGGGGGGGGGGGGTTTGTTATTTGTGGTTGTGGCGGTAATTATAATTTTATTTTTTGGATCCTTTTAGTTCTGGTTCAAAAATTTAAATTCTCCATAGGAAGTTTACTATTATAATACTCAACTAGCTCTGGTTAAATGCCTTATTTCATTGTGCGGTTGCCACATTGTTGACTTGTTTCTTTTTCTGCTATGTAATTTAACCACTTAATCTTAACTGGCTTATGATGAAATGGGGGATTGAATTGTTGTGTTTGCATTTTAAGAATCAATGTAGGTAAATGCATGGGAGAGGCATAGAGAGCATTGTTGAGATCTGATGTAGATATCTGAAATCTTAGCATACAGTTCAAGAAATTTTTGCCTATTGAGGGATTAATTGTAAACCAGTCCTTATTGTGTTGCGAGAAGATAATCACACATTGATAACTTATCAAAAAGAAAAAGAAAAAAGAAATTCACACATTGATGAGTTAATGGATGCAGGAACTCTCTTCTGCTGAATTTTGGCCAATTGAGGGATTAACGGTAACTCAGTCCTTATTGTGTTGTTAGACGATAATCACACATTTATGCAGTTAATCGATGCAAGAACTCTCTTGCTTAGATGCCACTTAATAACAAGGTTCACTAGGTGGTATAAAGTTGGCCTGAATTTCGGCTTTTGCAAGCCTTTTTTTTTTACTCACCAGAATAACTTCATCAAACTTTGCAGCATGACATTTAGTATGGTTTTTGAATCTACAATTAGAAGCTTTGGAAATATTTGAAAAGAGAACTAAATGTTTCTTAAAGTTTTTTATGTAGGTGAATAATAATTTTCCCCCTCCTGATGGCCTTTTGGTTTTTCAGCATGCTGTCTATATTGTTTTCAAGAAAAAAAAGAGTTCATATATAGATTTAGAATTGACCTAGTTCAGATTAAAAGTAAACCATGTTGTGTTTGCAAATAAAGACACTATGATTTTTGTGTCATAATCAACTATAATGGTTGTAATCTCCTATTTGACTTGATTCATATGCCCTAGAAGCATGGTTCTTCGATTTACATTTTCTCTTTTGTTATCCTCCAATTATTTTGAGAATAATTTGGGCTTTTAGAAATTCAAATTCAGAAAGCTTATGCTATTGTGATGCAGATAATAATTAATAGCCTTGGAAAGTTTCTAGTCAAAGTTCTAATTATGCCAGTGGAAATCTGAAAATGTCATGGGAATGGTAAAAGCTGTATGCTCTTTGGTAGTCTCAAAGTCAGTCTAGAGAATTGAAGAGACATTAAAAGTCTTTATTATAAAAAGAATAGGCCTCTATATTTGATGTATTCAAGTCTTTATTAATATCAGTTTGAGTTATTTCAGAGTATAAACTTCTCTTAAAGTTTTTCCTAGATTTCTCTTCAGAAATCTAGGCTCCAACGGTGATTGGAGTAACCCTAGTCTTCCTTAGTGTTGTAAGAAGACTTTGTTCAACGCCCATAGAAGGGGCAATCATATTGGGAGGATTCAGATGGAAGGTGTGACTTTGTTCAAGGAGGGAGATGTCTGTAAAGGTGTTGCTGAGTACTATGAGCATCTGTTCACAGAGATGGCGGGGTGGAGACCCTTGCTTGTGGGGTTTCAGTTCGACTCTATTTCTGAAGAGTGCACAGGTCTGGAGGAGCCTTTTTTTGAGGAGGAAGTTCTGGTTACTCTGAAGAGTTGTAATGGGGATAAAGCCCCAGATCCAGACGGGTTCACTACGAGATTCCTTTTGGAGTGCTGGGAGGTGGTCAAAGGGGAGGTGATGGTTACTTTTCATGCTTTCCACTCTCAGGGGTCTTTTGAGAAGAGCTTGAATGCCACTTTCATTGCTCTCATCCCAAAAAGGGAAGAAGAGGGGGGGGGGGGGGGGGGGGGGGGGGGTTGGATGTTTGGGACTTTCACCCTATTAGTTTGGTGGGGTGCATTTACAAGTTAATTGCCAAAGTTCTTGCTTTTAGGATGAGGAGAGTGTTGGATGGTGTGATCTCTGATTCTCAGAATACTTTTGTGGAAGGTCGTCAGATTCTGGATTCAGTTCTTATTGCTAGCGAGTGTGTGGATTCCAGGCTTCGTTGTGGGGAACCAGGTGTTTTGTATAAGTTGGATATTGAGAAGGCGTATGACCATGTGAGTTGGAGCTACCTTCTCTATCCAATGGAGAGGATGGGATTTGGAGAGCGGTGGAAATGGATTCACTTTTGCATCTCCAGCGCTCGTTTCTCTATTCTTGTGAATAGTGCTCCGACGGGCTTTTTCTCTAGCTCGAAGGGCCTGAGATAGGGGGATCCGCTCTTCCCTTTCTTGTTCCTTCTTGTGATGGAGGCCCTCAGTAGGTTGTTGAGGAGGGCTGTTGAGCTGGGCTTCTTGAGTGGGTTCCGGGTGGGTAGGGATGCCGCCAGCCAGTTGGAGATTTCCCACTTAATGTTTGCAGATGATACGCTTGTGCTTTGTGATGCGGAGGTGTCCTAACTCAGATATTTGAGATGTGTTCTGATTTGGTTCCAAGTTGTTTCCGGCCTCAAGGTGAATGTTGGTAAGAGTGTTTTGGTACAAGTTGGGGAGGTGCCTGAAATCACTTTGCTTGCTGGCATTCTGGATTGTCGTACTGGCTCTTTTTCTATTTCTTATTTAGGGCTCCCCCTGGGAGCTCCTTCGAGGTGTGTGGGGGTTTGGGATCCTGTCGTGGACAGGTTTGAGAGGAGACTGGCGGGTTGGAAGAAGTAGTACCTTTCTAAAGGGGGGCGGGTCACTCTGATTAAGAGTGCCTTTTCTTGCCTTCCTACTTATTTCATCTCGCTTTTTAAGATTCCCCTCCCTGTTGCTGAGAGAATTGAGCGGTTACAACGTAACTTTCATTTGGTTCGGTGGGAGCAAGTGTGCAGGCCGATTCGAAATGGTGGGTTGGGCCTTCGAAGATTGGTGCCTTCCAATAAAGCTCTCCTTGGGAAATGGTTGTGCAGGTTTGGGGTGGAGAGGCATTGGCTTTGGCGGAGGGTCGTTGCGAGTAGATATGGGGAAGGTAGAGGAGGGTGGTGCTCTCTTGAGGTGTGTGGCCCGAGGGGTGTGGGGGTTTGGAAGTGTATTCGGAAGGGATGGGCTGATTTTTCCACTTATGTTCGTTTCAGACTTAGGGATGGCAGGAGGATCAGTTTTTGGGAGGATGTTTGGTGTGGGGATATTTCTCTTGCTCTCGCTTTCCCTTGGCTGTTCAGGATTGCTATTGATAGACAGGTCAAGGTGGTTGACTGTTATCATCTTGATAGTGGGAGACTGGTTTGGGATGTTCGATTCAGGTGTCTTTTTCAGGATTGGGAGGTTGAGGATGTCACTCTTTTGTTGGAGGCGTTGTATCGGCACGGTGTCATGGCTGGAGATTCTGATTTTTGGATTTGGAAGCCAAATTCGCAGAGTTGCTTTGATGTTCGTTCCTTCTTCAGGTGTCTCACAGTTGAGTGGCCTTCCCGTGGAAGTCTGTTTGGCGCTTTAAGGCTCCTCTCAAAGTGGCTTTCTTTGCTTAGACCTCTGTTTTGGGTAAGATTTTGACCCGAGACAATTTGAGAAGGAGAAATTAGGTGGTTGTCAATCGGTGCTACATGTGTCTTCGGGATGAGGAGAGAGTGGATCATCTTCTTTTACATTGCACCATGGCTAAGGATTGTTGGGACTTGATGCTTTGTTTGTTTAGGTTCCATTGGGTTATGCCTCACTCCTCTAGACAGATGGTTGAGGCTTAGAGAGAGTGCTCTGTGGGGGCCCAATTCGTGATGCTTGGAGGGCTACGCCTCTTTGTGTGTGGTGGTGCATTTGACTGGAGAGGAATATAAGATATTTTGAGGGCAAGGAGAGGCCTATTTCTTTTCTTAAGTTCTCTATTCTTTCAACTCTTTTTTTGTTGGGTTACGGGTAGAGATTATAGATCTTTTGAGGATATTGTTGTTTTCTTGGCCTCTTTAAAGGCTTAGACGACTGCTTTTTTGGCCCTATGTTTGTTCTCCTGGGATGCGTTCCCCATTTGAACGCTTTCAATGCATTTCTTACTTATCAAAAAAATGAAAAAGAAGACGTCTGTGTGTTTTTCTGTTTACTTCAAGTGGTATTAGAGCCTTCCGGAAAGATCTGTGATTACTGCACCTCAACATTTGAAGAATCTTTGTTGAGGATGATCTTGGGAATTATGTTGATGACACCTCAACATTTGAAGAATCTTTTGGATGTGTAGATGAAGAAGATGAGATACTGGGATGTGAAGAAAAAAATAAGGCAGAAGAGGAAAAGTCTGAAAAAGAAGCCAAGAACTTGTCAAAAACTGAAGCTGCTATAATTATTCAGTCTGCATATCGTGGATTTGAGTTGAGGAAGTGGGAACCATTGAAGAAATTGAAGGAAATGTCTCCAGATGATTCCCAAGAAGTAGAAATTTCAGAACTTACGTTTGTCAACAGACAAATATATGAAAATTTTGAAGATAAAACCATTGAATATCCAATGGTAAGGGGTTCATTAGAAAATCCATCCAAAGAAGTTTACTTGCATAATTTGGTTAGAAATGAGTCTTCTTTGGTCACAGAGTTGAAAAATCAAGAATTCCATATTCATGACTTGATTTGGGATGTATTCTTGGTGCGACATACAGCTAGGAGTTGTTCCAATTCAAAAATCAGATTTATTCAGTTTTTGTTTCGTGATATATGTTCAAGCAAGCTTTGGAAATCTTCTAAATTTAAAGAAAGAGATCGGGATGAAAAGATGTTCTTTGCGAGTGAAAGAAAATTATTGTGTTTTGTTTAAGGAAAAGAAGAAAGAAAGGGGTTCTCAATAGATCATGGTAAATGAGGAGGGTCTGACGCAAATAATAATTAATAGCCTTGGAAAGTGTCTAGTCAAAGTTTTAGTTATGGCATGAGAAATCTTATAAACATGTCTTTGCCTTCAATACATGATTGGTTGAGTTTTATGATAAAAAAAAAAAAATTATAATACTTACAAGTTCCCTGCTAGGAGTTAAGTGGTTTCTCCTCAATCAAGTGGGACTCTTGCGTGGCTTGGTTGTATCGATTGATTGTCCCTGCGAATCTAGTGTGCGGTTTGGTTGCATCAATTTATTGTCTGGTTAGCAATGAGAAGTGACTCCACTGCACTTTCTCAGGTTACCACCAACTTTTAGCTTTAAGCCATCTCAATGCAGCCAACAGTGCAGGCAGAACCTGTTTTAGAATGTTATCATTGTTAGCATAGATCTGCTTCTTCATTTTTCTAGGAAGCATTGGTTTAATTGTTTTGCGGTAATAAATTTGATGTTGATCTACCTGATTGTGCTTCAATGCATGCTTTTACATTTTCTAAATGTAGTATGCTACATTTTCTGTTTATGTTTTTAACTTGTATTGCTTGCTGTTGCAGGTCAAAAAAATGCCATATTTTAATCCTCTACTTGAAAAGGTTTACCCTTGTCTTATGCATTTCGTCATCTTGTTTCTTTTTCTCAATCAAAGGATATCATTGAATATTTGATATGCTGATTGCAACACAATATATTTTCACCTATCTTTTTTTATACTACAATTAGGAGGGCAGAGCTCTGGGTATCCTACGTGATGTATTTATTGCTAATGTTCCAGTAAGTTTTTGTTCAGAATCTAAAATTTCAATGCACTAATAATCTTTTCAACTTATTCCCCCACTCCTCTCACTCTCTTTCTTTCCCTCCTTTACTTTAGGTGCGGCAACATAATTTTCGTGCAAAATGTATATATGTTGCCGTAATGTTAAGACGTATGATGGAAGCAATCTTAAACAAAGATGCAATGGATGACAAGGTAAATTGAATTCCACTTCCTGATTTTATTCTTTAGCTCATTATTGGTGGTAGTAGTAATTACATATGAAGGCACTAGCCAATCTACATGCAAAGTCTACCTTTTAGTACACGGATTTTATCCTACAGACCAAAGAGTAACTCTCCTCTTCCTAAATATGAAACTATAAAATATGTACTAGGACATAAATTTCCTTTTACTTTAGAGTAGGAGAATTTTGGACCTTCAAAAAGTTGTCTGTCATGCTTTTCTACGTACTCATTTTAGTGTGGGGACCATTTTCAATGGTTCAGTTCTTGTGCACAAACAAAACAAGAAAAAAAATCCCGATTTTATACACACACACACCACACCCAACCATGAAGAAAGAGAAAAAAAATTAATGGAAGAGTAAATAAGTGAAGGCAATCGGAGTGTACTTTTATTTTAGGTTTGTTATATCCATTTCTAGGCACCTTCTTTTGTAATGTTTGTACTCAAAATCCTTGGTTACTTCCTGTGACTCCTGCTTCAACTCACTAAGAGGAATAAAATCAGAAGGTAATTTGACTGGAACTGGCTGCAGAAAGAGCCAAAGAGCTAGGATCTACAGGTACTAAGAAATGGTGACTCAAAATACTGGTAGCTTCTTCAGGAGTCCATATGTCACTCAATCTGTTGAAACATTTTTTTTGACCTCACCTCGAAATCCCATCTTTGTGAATTATTTATAAATGATTATCATTTTACCACAAGCATCTATCTATTTATATATAAGGAATTTTGAACTAGAAGATGTTACTGCATGCTCATGAACTATTGATTATAATGTTTAAATAAATTCTTTATAGGACTATGTTGGGAACAAGCGGTTGGAGCTATCTGGTCAATTATTATCTCTCCTTTTTGAGGTAGTATTTATTAACTTATTTCATGCCAATAATAGTCAAAATCCTTCCTATTGGTTTTACTTTTCTTGGTGGGCTTTATATTTGTAGGATTTGTTCAAGACGATGAATGATGAAATCAGGAAGAACATAGATCTCATTCTAGGAAAGCATCGGTCTAGTCCATTAGACGTCTCTCAGGTGAGTGTCTTAATCTTTTTTAAAGGTAAAGGTGACAATGTTATTTAGGATTAAGCCTCATGGTACTTCTTTGTTTTGTTAAAAGTCAGTTAAAAACAAGAAAATCTGATGACAAATTTTAGAAAGCTTTTGGTTTTGGATTCCCTTGCACACACAATTTGTTTACAAGGACAACAACAATACATTATGGCAGGACATACATCTAGATATGGTGGCATAGCTTAAAATAGCGTGTGTAAAATTTCAGTGCTGTACATATTCATTTAACTTACTTTGAGTCTCTGTATACATGTTGAATTATTTTGCGGAATAGTGGAGAAAATAGTAACACCAAAAAAAGTTTTTGTACATTTTCATTTAACTTACTTTGAGTCTCTGTGTACATGTTGAATTATTTTGTGGAATGGTGGAGAAAATAGTAACACCAAAAAAAATGTTTGTGAAGAAAATACATTATATGCAGATACAAGAAGATGCCTATTGTGTTGCTCCTTCCAAGAGTTAAGTACTTCAGAAGATAGAAACCTTTAAGTCCTAAAACCTGAATAGGGAAGTTTATATTCCTTGTTGGGTTTCAGGAAATAATCATCATGGTAATAAAGAAAGAAGTTCAGAAAAATGTTCTCTTTAAGAAACTGTATCTCACAGCAAGTACTTTATTTTATTTTATAAACTTCTTATCTTTCCGATTTCCAAGTGATCAATAGAAGTATTCCATCAGATCTAAGCCTTCAAAGACCAAATATGTTTTTTGGGTCCACTGCTTTTGGGCACTTTTCAATGGATACTTATTAAAAAAAAATAAAAAAATAAATATATATATATTTATTTTGGGTTTACAAGAACCTCATAATTTAGTACTTATCTGATTTTCCATCATGTGGGCTACAATGTGGTCTAGGTAAACTTTCTCTACTATTTAGACTTCTCTTTTGATCTTCCATGGTGACACAACTACTCAGCATGTACTAGTGTTGTGACTTCTCAAGTAAGGTTGCCCATCACTGTAACTAAATTACATTCAAATGCTTCCACGTCATAAACAAGTTAAAAAATGTAATCTGTCATTGATGTCTTAATCTATTTGTTGGTGATTGAGTTGAAATTCACGAGTTGCAAAGTCACAGTAATTTTCTTGCTACATTGATTTGAATTGACATTTATTTTTTTATTTTTTTATTGTACTTCTTCTTTTACCTTGTAATGTATGAGTAATTCTTGAAATAGATGCCATAATCTGGTGACTTCCTTTTCTCTAATTTTCCGCAGTATATAGTCAAAGACACTATTACTGTTGGCCTAGAAAGGACACTTTCTACTGGCAACTTTGATGTAAAACGGTTCAGGATGCACAGGAAAGGCATGACACAGGTTGTTTATTTCCCCTCTCTTATTTGCTTTGCTCTAGTGTGGCCTTTCTATGCTTCTGGTTAAAATTAAGAAGATACTGTGGTCTCAAGGTAGATTCTTCTTTTGGTAGGTTGTAGCTAGGCTATCTTTTATAGGGACATTGGGCCACATGACAAAGATTTCGCCGCAATTTGAGAAGTCTAGGAAAGTTAGTGGACCTAGAGCATTGCAACCGAGCCAGGTAAGGCTGATGTGTTTACCAAGCCTTTACAGCCTTCTGAATTAAATCCTTCTCACATGATTTTGTAGGCTTTTGCAGTCAGATCTTATCTCTGTATTTAACTGTACCTCTGTTTTGTGCTCATTGAATTATAGTGGGGCATGCTATGTCCTTGTGATACTCCAGAAGGTGAAGCTTGTGGATTGGTGAAAAACTTGGCCTTGATGACTCATGTTACAACTGATGAAGAAGAAGGCCCATTAATTTCTTTGGTAAGATATATGTCTCTTGAATTTTTTTTACGTCTACAGAAATTAAGTGAAACCATTTTCTGTCTTCCAAATTATTTCTTAAGGTATTCATGTGCAGTTGTTTTTGGTTGCATTTTCAAGACTTCCAGGATTTTGTACCTTGAAAATATGGATGTCATGGTACCTATAAAACAGTAAGTAGACATTAGCATGTAGGTTTACCAATTGATTGAACTTGGATTAAATATTGCTTTATATAATTTGTTTGGTTAAAAGAATGCAATGATTATGGTACCATTGATGCTGTTGTCCATCATTCATCTTAGAGTTGTGATAGAGGGTCTGAAAGTTGGACACATCCGACGGCATTTATGTGAGTGGGGGATTATGTCATCCCCCACTCACATAAAATAGTCGGATCAGCCTGAGAGTCGGACATCATTTTCCTTCTTCTTATGCTTTTTTGAGAATGGTCGCCTAGAAATCTGGCTGCCTGCAAAGCATAGAAACTTACTATCTAGAAGCCAAAGCAAGTTTTCTGAGCATGGAAGCTGAAAACTAATTCAAATTGGCATTAGATAATTTGATTGAAATGCTATTCATCCTTATGTTCCAAAGATGATAATCCTCCCTTATCTTCTGTGTAATTTTATTTGTGTTTTTTTTTATTTTTTATTTTTTATTATTTTATTTTATTTTATTTTTCTTGAATTTAGTCAAAATTTTCTAGCAGTTTGTTATTTTTGGTGAGAAGCAGGTACTAGTAACTTGAATTTATGCTTCTCAAATCTATTATTATTATTATTTTGGCAGCAATTGATTAATTTTGATGGTAAAGTTGTAATTGAGGTAGCGTTTGTGGTTATTGAAAGAAAAAATGTAGTATGGCACTTGTTATTTGAAAATGGAAGCAACTGCGAATTACATCAAGAAGCAACATAGCAGCACCAGCAAAAGGAAAAAATAAATGGAGATAGAAACAGCCACTATGGTCATCCAATGAGTTTTTAAAAAAATAAAGGTGAACCTCCCCTGAGGTTTGTCCAAATTACTCATGGATGAATCTATTTGAAAAATCTCTCTGATACCAATTGTCAGATTCAAAATTACTCCCATTTTATCTTCCTATTACAAAATTACTTCTCTCTTGTAACCTTTAAAATGCTTCACATTTTCTGATTTTGACCGATCATTTTACTCTCTCTATAATATATATATATCACCTCTATGCATCCAACAGCCACTGCCACCACCACCCTCTCCACATCTCTTCGTCTTGCCACCACCACTCCCTCCACAAATCAAATACACCATGGCTGTTCTGTTGTTGCCGCTCATGATCCTTTGGAATTTATTGATATTTGAGGGCCATGTCACCATCAAATAGAAGATTGCTAATTGTTACTCAGAAGTTACATCACTCCCATTTTATCTTCCTATTACAGAATCTCTACTATTTATATATATATATATATACACACACTATACACACACACGCACACGTATAAAAGCCTCACCTCCATTTTATCACTCCACTGTTCCACCCAAATTACACACTCATTTTCCCTATGTGACCAGAAAAGGACTAAGGGCTAGGGTTTCAGTAACTTCGTGGCTTTTAGACCTTCTCACTTCCCGATCTTGTACAACTATGGAGCTATCGAGCTGGCCATTAGCGAATAGATCATCTCCCTGGTAGAGCAGGTGGGTGAGAGAGAGAGAGAGGACCTATGCAGTGGTATGGTGGTGTTTAGTGTGGGGGTTGCTAGGTTAGGAGAGAGAGAGTGTGTAAATTGTCCAAAGAATACTTTTTGGTTTATAATTAGAGTGAATTGTTAGAAATTGAATAATAACAATTCAAATTCTTTGCTCTCTTTTTAGTTGGGGTATGGGGAGAGATTGTATTTCTTTGGATGAGATTATGGACTTTTTGGGGTTGTTTTGTTCATAGGTCTCCTTTTTACTTTTTTTTCGTTTTTTGTACAGCTCTTGGGACGCGTTCCCCTTTTGAACGCTTTCTAATACATATTTACTTATAAAAAAAATATATATAATAATAATAATAATAATAAATACACTTTTTAATTTTTATATAAGTTTCAGAGAATGAATCTGGGTTTAAGAGAAAATGAATTGGATGGACTAATTTTGTTTTTTGTTTATTTGTTTTTTTTTTTTTTCCCCGTTGTTTGTTTGTTTTTGTTTTTTTTTACAAGCAAAGGACAATTCTAATTTTTGTAAATTGATTGTACAATGGCCTAGTGAATCATATCATTAGGACACACAAAGAGAGACATAAAGAGGGTACACACCGAAATTAAATAACATATGAAGGTTGAAGTGAAAAATCTAACAAGGGATCTGAGATGTGATCTACTCGATGACCTGAATTGGGACCTTGATAAGGTTTAGACACAAGTTCCTTTCCTCGTCATATCCCAGAAGGAAGCCCAGAAAAAAGAATTGTCCACCTCCATACAGGTTTTGGATAATTACTCTGACCACCCCTATCATTAATTAGAGGTCAAGTCCATAAATTGGATATTTTTTTAAATACAAGAAATACCCGTACATGAAGTGAAATGACTTAAATGACCTTATTAACTATGTCAAATGACATTTGACCCAAATTTGATTGAACAAAAATACCTTTACTATACAAAATTAGTCCAGCCTACACTTCAGTTAAGCAATTGTAGAGAGAGAGGAAATTTTAGAGAGAGAGAGATCATGAGCTGTGGTACAGTGACGATGATTTTTCACTTGTGGGTAATTTGGACAAACCTCAGGGATGTTAGAGTCATTCACCCTAGAAATAGATATGTACTTTTTGTTAGAAACCCCCCTTTGGAGAATGAAATTATTAAGCGATCATTTAAAAATAATTCATATCCCTGTGGCTCATGCTTGCTGGAGTATTATTTTTTGGTTTGTTCGACGTTCAGTGGGTTATGCCACGGTCCTCAAGGGATTTGATTGACGGTTGGAGAGGCTTCAGTGTGGGGGCCCACGCCCGGGATTTTTGGAGGGTGTCTCCCCTCTGCGTTTGGTGGTGCATTTGGACGGAGTGGGATAGAAGATCTTTTGATGGGGAGGAATCTTCCATTGGGGCGATGAAATTTACTATTATTTGTTTTCTTTTTAGTTGGGTGAGGGGGAGAAATTGTATCTTTTTAGATGACATCATGGATCTTTTGGGGATGCATTCCCCTTTTGAACGCTATCTAATATACTTTTATTTATTAAAAATAAAATAAAAATTCATATCTGGAAGTGTGTCGGGTTTTTTTTTGTCAGCTGAAATGCTGGTTAGAAATTCTGCCCTTGGAGAAGGAAATTATTAAATGATTGTTAAACCTAAAGATAATTCATATCTGGATTTTTTTAAGGGGTTTTTATTCAGCTGAAATGCGGGGATATTGTAAATCTTCTGTTGAAGTTGTTGGGAAGAAATAGCATTCTGAATTTGTTTTCTAGGATCTGCACATTTTTAACTACATTGGCCTGCATTTGAATTGTTTTAGATTCTTTAACTTATAGGAATTCATTTCTATTGCACATTTTTTATAAGAAACTTCTATGACATCCATGACAATTAGACAACCACGCATTGTTGAGGTAAAAAATAGAAAAATAGAAATAGAAATCAAAAAACCTGTTGCTTAGCAGATGTTGAAGATTTGTAGAGTTAATACTGGTTTCATGCTATGCTTGTAAGTTTATTTTTTCGTTGCCCTTCCATTTTTATTTTATTTACGTATTATGATAACATGTGATGGTTATTGTATCAGTGTTACTGTTTGGGAGTTGAAAATTTGGAACTACTCTCTGGAGAAGAACTTCATACGCCAAATTCATATCTGATTTTATTGAATGGGCTTATTCTTGGCAAGCATCGGAGGCCACAGGTGTGCATTGATCCTTTAAGATTGACTGTTCTGTATGTCTCTGCATGTTTTTTACTAAAATTCTGTATTATTCATTTATTTGTCTCCTCACCCTACATAACTCACTCCATGTTTAGCATTTTGCTTATACATTGAGAAAGTTGCGAAGGGCTGGCAGAATTGGTGAGTTTGTGAGCATCTTTGTGAATGAGAAACAGGTATCTTTTCTATCTCATGATTTCACTATTTGCACTTGTTTTTGTAGTGTTTTATAATTTTTGCTTTCACTACATCTGTTTATTCGCAAAAGATTGACAAATAAGTTTTTGTTTTTGTTTTTTTGTGAATGATATTTTCTATAACAAAGGCATTTTCTTTATTTTCGGGATGATGATGCCTTTCAACATAATTTTTATTTATTTTTGATAAGTAAAATTGTATTAGAAAGCGTTCAAAAAGGGAACGCATCCCAAGAGCTATACAAAAACCAAAATAAAAAAAGGGAGTCCTATGGACCCAAAGAACCCAAAAAGTCCATGATTTCATCTAAAGATATACAATTTCTCCCCATAACCCAACTAGAAAGAGAACAAATAATAGAAAACTTCAATGCCCCAATAGAGAATTCCTCTCCATCAAAAGATCTTCTATTCTGCTCTTTCCAAAGACTCCACCAAACACAAAGGGGGGGTCACCCTCCAATAGTTACAACCATGAGCCCCCACCCTTTGGCCCCCCCAAACGTCAATCAAATCCCTTGAAGTCCTGGGCATAACCCATTGGATGCCAAACAGACCCAAAGTAAGGCTCCAGCAGTCATGAGCCACGGGACAATGCAAAAGACTCCATCATTCTTACATAAACAATCATTCTTACACAGACAACGCCGGTTGATTATAATTTGTCTTCTCTTTCTCAAATTGTCAAGAGTCAAGATCATGCCCTAAGTTGCAGTCCAAACAAAAAAGGCCACCCCAAGAGAAGCCTTCGAATGCCAAACCGTTTTCCACGGGAAATGGGAACCGTGAAACCCGGAGAGGCAGAGAAAGAAGGAACAGACCTGAAAAGTCCCCTGCGAAGAAGGCACCTAAGTCAAGGAATCCGAACCAGTACCATCTACCTCCTGTCTATACAAAAGGTCCAGCAAGCCAGTGACGTCATCCAACTCCCAATCGTGAAAGGATCGCCGGAACCGCACATCCCAAGACAACCTACCGCTATCGAGTCGGTAATAGTCAACTATTCTATCAACAACAGTCCTGAACAACCTTGGGAACAAATAAGACAATGGGCGATCCTCGCACCAAGTATCCTCCTAAAACTGGATGTCCCTTTTTTCCCGAACTCTGAATCTAATATACTTAAGAACTCAACCCATCCCTTCCCAATGGATTTCCACACCCCCACGCCGACAACAAATCTGACCGGCCTAGATAAAGTCATTTTGCAACTATAATCCTTGAACATGAATATATCTTATGCTTAAACATGATTGTCATGTCACACATAGATAAATGGTGCTGGATAAAATAGATCCCCAAAATGTATATACAAATTCTGCCTATATGTATATCGTTCATTAAATGACTATATTGAATGTACATTTTCTTTTTTCTGATTGATTTTGATCCACAGAGATATGAAGTAAAAAAATGATAAGTAGATATTATATTTGAAGAAAAGGTAACTAGAGAATACAGATTCATGCAGTGGACCCCTAGTAATTGTAGGGGTGGTAATTCGTGTTGGCGTGTTGTGTTCGTGTCGACACGAACACGATTAGGATCGACACAAACACGACACGATTAATCATGTCTAAGACCTTTGACACGAACATGACACGATTATTACACGTGTAACACGACATGACACGCGTAACCTGTTTAATAAATGGATCAAGACTTGACATGAAACGAAAAGACACGTTTAAGTTATTTTTGATACGAACACGACATTTTTATTCTACACTTTTAGCTAAAATGGTAATTTTTTACACGAACACGACATTTATATGACATGTTTAGTTAATCGGGTTATTCGTGTCATAATCGTGTTTATAGGGTCAAACACGAACACGACACGTTTAGTTAGCGGGTCAATCCGTGTCGACACGATTACGACATGAACACGATTAGCCCAAACCCAAACCCTCTTATTTCATGTCGTGTTCGTGTCGTGTTAACGTGTTGTGTCAAATATTGTCACCCCTAGGTAAATGTGATTAAGGTTTCATTGAGCTTTGTGAATTTGGGGAACCATAAAGTCCGCATGATCTTGTCGCGATCTATTGTCGAGGAAGTAACATACTACAAAGATTTATAGTTTGCTAGAGTTGTTCTTGGTATAGTTTATCCTTCTTTTGAATATGTCTCGTTCCTTATGGTTAAAGATCTAATCAAGAACTATTGATCTACAAATTAGAAGACATGAAGGGCTTATGTTGATGTAGGATAGATTTTAGTATTTTTTTAATTAGGTTTATTTATTTATTTTTATTTTATATTTTTAGATAGTTTTTAGTTTTAGGTAATTTTCTTTTATTTTTACTTTTCTTATATTAGATTTCCTTGTGTTTTTAATTTACTTAAGCATTTAATTTCCTTTTCAATATTAGGGATTTTTTTCTTTATTTTAAATATACATGTAATGCAAGAGCAAAAAATTTGAACCTTTTATCAATAATATTTTAGAATTCTATGCGAATTTTTTCTACTTTGTGGATTCAAAGTACCCTATCTTGTGGATTCAAGGTAACTCCGTTCCTTGAGAACGATATTATCGCTTCTGCTACGTCAGTTGGTATCAGAGCCTTGATTTACCTTGGCCTGATGACGATTGCTCGTTTTGGCAGCACTGTTGATCGCAGAGTGAAGGCTCTTTGGGCAGCCATGCATACTCAAGAACGGTTTGTAGCAACTGGTTTTGGGATTGGTGGCAACCAGGTTCATGGTTCAGTTCGTGTTTGCGCTGATGATGTGTCTCACAGCCAACAAAATAGGGATTATGTTCAAGTTTATCCATGTATGCGGATTATTTCGATAATGAGAAGATCAGATTTAGAGAAGTTGCGATGGATCGTCGTGATAGAAACTATAGATATCCGTACAATCGTAAGTTTTAGAAAGAAAACTAGATTTACTTACGTTTACTTCTAGTTTTTGTGCTGAGGATGTGTTCTATTGGCTTAATGAGGTCGAGTACTTTCTTGAGTATTTTGACATATCCGAACACAAGTAAATTCCTCTTGTAGCAATCATGCTTAAAAAGGCTTCAGCTTGGTGGGAACAAGTAAAGACTAACCGTAGGAAGCAAGGAAAACAACCTGTACAATCATGGGCAAAGATGAAAAGGTTGTTGATTGCTAAATTTTTACCACCAAGTTACCAGCAAATGCTGTACAACCAATATTAGAATTGCAATAAAGAGACTTAGTTTGTCAGCAAGGAGGAGAATAGTGATGATTTTTTTGAAGTAACTGGTCATTTTCAAGAAAATAATTGTGAAAAAAATTCTACTACAACTCTTGTAGCCAAAGATGATAAAGTTGCTCAAATTTTAGCCGTGGTAGATGTACTTGGAGAGACTTCCAAGAATACAACTTCGTAGACCACATTCTTCAAGGATGTAATTGATGGTTCAACAGAACCTCACATAGAACAAGAGGATGATGGTCATGAGCATTGCAACATGGGTCTGGGGGACAATTGCTATCCAAGTAACTACGTTGACTCAAATTTGATGGATTACAATGGCTCATAACTTATCAAACCTACTTTATTGGGGGAATGTAATACTGCAGGTGGAATTCAGGATGATCCTTTGATGTCCAGTAAGCATATTGGACAGATCATTGATCCTGGAAATGGTGCATGGAACCATATTTGAATGACAACGTTGATGACTTGGATAAAGATGCAGCCTCAAAAATTGATGGTGATTCCTTGTTGGTCAATGAAGTCCAAGTTGATGAATTAGATTCATTCAATGATGTGATACAAGAATTAGACCAGCAACTGTCGTCATAACCTGATTCTAAGTAATTATAATTGGCCTATTGGGTATCAAGTTCAAAGTATGATGGATTTTCGTATGTCAATAGATTGGATGATTTTGCAATCATGATCATTGGTGAGGCAAATCCGGAACATACCATGGTATATTCAAAGCGTGGATTTTTCAATATGTTGATTGGAAAAGGAGAACCAACTGAAGATGCCAGCAGACGTGACTTTTACCTTCAGTTGGTGGCAGCTTCCAAATTGGAATTAGTCAATTATTCCAATAAACATGAAAGGTATGTGGTTGCTAAGTTGGAAACTGAGCTAGTTATTAATACGAGTCAAGTGCAGAAAACACCCCTATAGTATGCTTATAGTGCATATCACACCCCTCGTGCAGAAAACTCCCCTATAGTTTCAATTTGGTGCAAATTGGTCCCACCTGACACATTTAAACTATAGTTTGACTAAATTTCCCTTATATACACATTTTACATATTATTTAAAGAAACGAAAGGAACAATGAGAGGTAAAATCGAAGCATTTTTATGAAAGGTTGAGATCAGGTTCTCAGTGGTACACAATTTTGTTCATACTCATGTATGATGAGCTAAACTTGAGGACGGGTTTTCTTTTAAGTAGAGGGGATTGATGTAGGACATATTTTAGTATTTTTTAATTAGGCTTATTTATTTATTTATTTTAATTTTATATATTTAGAGAGTTTTTACTTTTAGGTAATTTTCTTATATTTGTACTTTTCTTATATTAGATTTCCTTTTGTTTTTAGTTTACTTATGCAATTAGTTTCCTTTTCAGTATTAGGGGTTTTTTTTTATTTTTTATTTTTTTTATTATAAATATACATGTAATGCAAGAGCAAAAAATTTGAACCTTTTATCAATAATATTTTAGAATTCTGTGAGAATATTTTACACTTTGTGGATTCTAAGTACCCTATCTTGTGGATTCAAGATAACCTCGTTCCTTGAGAACGATATTATCGCTTCCGCTACGTCATATGTATAAGTCAAATTGTAAGATTTTAACTGTTATGTCTCCATATATTTAGCATTGCACTGTTACATTGCCATATATTTTGCTTTGCACAGTAATTGCCAAAAATCATGGCACTAAATTTGTTACCACTGCTAATCTGTTGTGTGGTTGCATCAGGTACCTTATATCCATGTTGAATTCTATCCCTCTTGTTACCTTAG